TCTCTCTCTCTCTCTCTCTCTCTCTCTCTCTCGTTGGGCTCCCGCCCCTCAACTCCACCCCTCTGCTTCACATCCCGGGCCCTGGGGCCGGGACAGTTCTTGCACCATTAGCTCTCTTTGCTGACTTCATCGCTTCTAGCCTTCCCGTCCTCCTGAAACGGGCTTTTAACTAGGGAGCGTCCCTCTGAACCTGGCGGACCGCCACCTTTTGGTCTTAAACTAGAACTTCGGGAGGAGCATGGCGCCCCCTGCCGGAAGCCTGGGGGAACTCAGGGATCTAGAAAAGGGGGCTTCCACCTGGCCCCACCACACTCCCCTGGAGCGTTGGTCTGAGAGGCCGGGGAGACGTGGCTCCCTGCGATGGGATCATTCAGAGCGAGTGAATTCTGTGTGGTCCAGACAGCGGGATTCAAAGTTTGAGTGTCCGAATTAGGAGCTGTCTGACATTCAGCAAGTTATTTACTTTGAACGTCAGTTTCTTTGCTGTAAAATGGGATCATTGTCACCCCCTGCCTAGTGTTGTCCTCAGGGCACTAATCATTCTCTGTCTGGCTTCTTGGGGTGGAGCATTTCAAAGGTAGGTGGATGGGCAACAGGACATTTAGGCTTTTACCGTTTGCACTGCCCTCAAGTCCCTCTTTCCAACACCAAGTTCCAGGGCAGCCTGTTTTCAGCTTCTTCTAAGGGTGTCCCAAAATTCACGCAAGAAGTAATTTTGATAGAAAACACAGGTTTATAATTAAAAATTGTAAATTTTTTATTGATTCATAAAGTACCCAGGATAGGGTTATGTATGGAATAGCATATCGGGTAAATGGCCTCCACGGCACAAAAAACTGGATTATCATGTCGCGATAGCGAGCACCATTAACTGTTATTGCCTGAGCAGCCGAATTTGGGTCATGGAAAATTTCAACAAAAGAGTGCGGATGTGCCAGCAAAGCCGTGGAGGCCATTTACCCGATATGCTATTCCATACATAACCTTATACTGTATACTTTATGAATCAATAAAAACTTTACAATTTTTCATTATAAGCCTGTGTTTTCTATCAAAATTACTTCTTGTGTGAATTTTGGGACCCCCTTTAACTTAGCTATTAAGCTGACATTTATAAAGCACCTACTGTGTGCTGCAAAGCACCTCCCTATCAGCTGTAAGAGAGATTGTACCTCAAGTCTAGGGGGACGCTGCTGAGCCAGAGGAATGAGGAAGGCTGTGCGAGAAGCTGGTCGTGGCTTTTCCTGTGGTTTCCTCACCTGCCCCCATCTTATGTTTGCTATTGCTGAGGATCAAAGTCTCTGGCCACCTGCCTAGCCTTCCTTGCCAGTGGCCTGCACCCTGGGCACTGCTCTTTCTGGCTGTGGGTTTGAGTCTGGCACTCTCCTCCCTTCCCAGGCTCAACTTCTGGAACCCTAAGCGCCACATTCCAGCATCCACACAGGCGATGACCCTCTGGTATCCCTCCTGTAGCCTCTTTCTCTCCTGGCCATTTGCTCAGGCCAGGCTCCACTGCTCTTACTTCCCTTCAGTTCTGGGAAAGCACTCTCACACCTCTCTCTGGGTGCCCCTCGGATTTGGAGCTGCTGGAGTCTGGAGCACCAACCTCCCTCCTCCACTATAACACAGTGCCATCAGCAGCGGAGGAACTCACTGACCCAGTGGGCAGAAGCCAGGCCACCTGGGATCTCCCCATTCAGCCAGAGGATCGAGAATTCTAGAGCTGCTTATACCCCACTTCCAGCATCAGCTGGGGACACCCTGGCCTCGCCCAAGTGCCAGTCCCATCTCGTAATATTGTAGTGCTTACCCAGGTCCCCATCCACTCCTCATGTGCAGAGGACATTGTGGTATAGCTTCAGGGACTGTCATTCTCATTGAGTGCCAGGATGTGCCTGAAATGACATCCAGAACTGTCCCAGCCAGTGGGTCTGGGCTATCTGTGTGGACTGCCCCTTGGTCTTTACTTTGGCCACCAGCAGCCCTGGACTGACCCACAACTCCCATCCTACTCAAGCTGCAAAATGTGGCTGTGAGCCCCTGGCCTTGAGAGATAGAGGACATTTGTCTCAAGCCCTCCGTGGAGCTCATGGCCTCGTCAGCTAGCAGTGAGCATTGTCTTAAAGGAGATGACCATTCATGGCCTGAGGACATTTGGGACAAGGGCAACAATGAATCAATGGGAGGGGGAGGGGTGCTTTGATGCCAAAGGCAGCTAGCCTTCTCAGGCTCTTGGTTTCTTCCAGAAAGCCTCTGCCCCCACCCCATAGCCCTCTGCTCAGACAACACTGAAATCACAGCCGGATTGGTCTTTAGGAAAGGCAGGGAACTGGGTTCAGATGAGGATATAGAAAGAGGGATCCAGAGGTACAGTGGGCAGGAGCCCCCAGGAGAGGAGGCTGCAGGGAGGAGGGACAGACAAAGCCTCTATGCAGGGCTGCAAGCCACAGCTCTGGGTGACTAGGGGGTTGGAGGACAGGAAAATCTGAGGATGTGATCCCTACACTTTTCTTTATTTTATTTTTTTAAATATATTTTTAGCCCTAGCTGGTTTGGCTCAGTGGATAGAGCATTGGCCTGTGGACCAAAGGGTCCTGGGTT